TGCAGAATGTGCATGATTGTTAAGAGACATCAATGGTCTACAAAGCTACTTACCCACTTGTGATATTTTTTCTTCTTAACATGCAAACTAAAGCCAGCCTGAACTGGTTTTGAAAAATCTACTAAGCCTCATGTAAGGAATAGAGTGGTGATGCTACCAACCTTGAAGAGGCTGGGGAAACAAGAAGATAGCAGTCCAGCTTTTAAACATCATTAACAAGAAGTCTGTATTTAAGCGCTGGCATTAGGAGGAAGCCAAAAACAGTGTAGACAGTGGAGCTCAGAAGGCAGGCCACAGACCCTGATGAAAGTTTTGTTGTAGTCTCAGCAATGCACCAAGATGTAACAGTCTCTCGTTATCTGAGATAACACCCAGAGTTCTTTGTCCTACCTCCAAGAAGGCACAAAGGTAAGGTCAGAGCAAAAGTTTAATAAATGAAACAAGAAAGTTCTCTGTCAGCAGAGAGGGGGGCCTAAATGGGGTGCCCCGTGTGAGGCTGGGGTCCAGGGTTTTTAGCGGCTGGGAAGAGGAAGGAATGTGCTTAGTCCCAGGGCTGTCTTGGAGAACATGTGACTCAGCTTGACTTGACACCAACCAGAAAGGTTGGCCGGGACCTTGGGTCAGGAACAACCAGGGGCTGAAGTTATGATTCATAGAGCCCAGACTTACAGTCCAAAAGAGAAAGGAAAGTGCCCACCAGAACCCACTGGAGCCCACTGTGCCCCTGCCCACAAAAGGAGAAGAAACTTTTTCCTGGGAGCCCGCTGACTATACAAAGGACAAAGGCATTTCTATGCCAGGCCTTGTTCCCTTATCTGAGTGAGCTGGAGGTCTATGTAAGTTTTTATTTGCTTGGAGGCCTTGTTCTCTTATCTGAGTGGGCTGGAGGTCTGTGCAAGTTTTTATCCAAATGGGCCGGAGGTTTTTCTATCTGTGCAGCTGTGGGCATGTCTCCAGGCACAATACCCTGTGCTAGTTCCTTATCAGTGCCTGCAGCTTGAATTTTTTCCCAGGCTCCTTTTTATGTTATGTGGGGATAAGACACTGACCCATGGGCTGGGCGCACTCCAGGGACCCTTCCCTTGCTGTCTATCTAAGGCAAGCTAAATAACTCCTTTCAGTTTCAACACTGAAATAATTTGCTTTCTAAAATGGATCTCAGGGAAGACTTCTGGCCTATTTCACATGAATAAATGAATCTCATAGAAGACATCTGGCCTATTTCACATGAATCTAGAGAGATCAGAGAGAGTAGAGAATTACAGACTTTGAAAACAGGGATTTCAAAGTTGAGGAGCTGCTCAAGTTGGAAATGCAGGCCCTGGACAGAGGGATAATTTCTGGTCTTGAGCAAAAATCTCCAGTAGTTTCAGGCACACAACAACATCCTGGAAATAATTATCACCCTCCTTAGAGGTCTGGACCAGAAGAAAGAGAATCTACATTTCTTCTGAGTTCAGCAACAAGATCATGATGAAAATGAGCAGGTTTGATACTCCATTGCCAGATATGATCCTTCCGAGATATCACATGTACTTAACTACTACAGCTTAGCATCCAGTGAATGTTAGGACACAGAAAGAATTTCTAACTACAATATCTTTCAGCAATACAAGATACAGACCCTTTGGCCTTGACAATAGACCAAAAGGTGTAATAAATTACAGAAAAGATTTTTCAAAATTAAGGGACAAATTATGCTATGTGGAAGTGAAGAAAAAAAATAAGGCTAGGCATCACAAAAATGATTTGATCAATTTAAATCTTAGAAACAAATATCATGGCACTAATTTAAAGAATACAAAAAGCCACAATACAAAAACACAATTAAGAGAAGGGGACAATCCCAGCACTTTGGGAGGCTGAGGTGGGCGAATCACATGAGGTCAGGAGTTTGAGACCAGACTGCCAACATGGTGAAACTCGTGTCTCTATTAAAAATACAAAAATTAGCCGGGCATGGTGGCACATGCCTGTAATCCCAGGGATTACAGCTTGCCTTAGGTAGCTTACCTTAGGGATTAATACTAGGGAGGCTGAGGCAGGAGAATTGCTTGAGCACCGGTGGGGGCGGAGGTTGCAGTGAGTCGAGATCATGCCACTGCGCTCCAGCCTGGGTGACAAGAGTGAGACTCCATCTCAAAACAAACAAACAAACAACAAAAAAAAGAGAAAGGGACAGTTCCTTAAATTCAGAGATTCCATCACTGATTACACACACACAATATATAAAATTTGGATTCCACTTTTTTCTTCTAAATTTTAGTTTAAAATATCACTCTTCTAACTATAGAACAAACATCTAGACTGTCAGATCCTTGAAGACAGAAACCAGATACCATTAGCGTCTGAATAGCCAGAGTTCAATACAATACATTGTAAATAGTGTGAGTTAAATAAGTATTATGTAGATAAACAATTTAGTGATAGAACCCTCAAATGTCTTTAAACACAGTATTTCAAATTACTATATTTTTGCTTCGAGATCTGAAATGATACAAGTTGTACCCAAATATTGAACCCTGAATTAAGCGAACAGGACACGAAAAAAATTCTTCTGACTTAGATTTCTATTCCTCACTCCCACCATTCTTACTTGCCACATACTATTTTTGTTGAAGGTATTGAGTTAAATCTTTAATGGATGACATGTAAGAAGGTATGCTGACAACAAAGCCAACTTAGACTAGCTCATGGGTGCCAGGCAGGGGGACGGTGGACTCTGAAATGATCCACTTCCTATTAAACGCCAGTCCCATTTTCTATTTAATATAGCCCTGCTCCAATGAAGCACCACTCCATAGCTACTGACCATTTAAGTATGGAATATATAACTTAAATCTATAAATAACTTTAAAGTATAAATATGATTTTCTTTTAAAGTAAAAGTAAATAAATAGAAGATCAGCCATAGCTCTGGAGCACACCAGGCCTGACACTGAGCCTTCCCTCCCCTAAATGTCCGCAGCAGCCCTTACTGGTCAGTATGTCATTTCCCTGACCATCTTGCTTCTGATACTAAGGCTAGAGTTACCACAGAGACTTCATAGATAGCAAAAAGCTTAAGGAAACAAAGTTTCCCACAGGAATTACACTGTGTCAAGTGATAAACACACATGGTACAGACTATTATTAAGACTGGTAGCCTTTTCAGCTTTAGAGGCTGCTTAAGAAAACTCGTTACTGAAAGAGACCCTGCTGGTGGTCTTGGAGCAACACAGAATGGTGGGGCTTACTTTAGTGGTGACAAGAATGACATGGCCAAAGAATAGTTGCTTATCTCCAAGTCTGTGGGGATCAGATAGATGATCTATGTTTTGGGGTGAGGAGTTGTTCTTTGTTTTGGAGGGGTTTTGACAGTGTACACATATATACATATGGTACCTAGTTCAATAAAATTACTTTTCTTATGTTTCACTGCTTAGTCACACCCCATACACAGTTATCATTAAAATTTACTGATGGCCAGTACCAAATTTAGAAGACTCTAGCACTGTAAAGGCATGGGAAGGTATTATGGACCCCAAGGTAAACTTCAAAAAAGGTTGTCCCTAACATGTCTCACTGTGGAGTGAAAGCACTAAGTTCTGTCTAGTTCTACCTGAGAGTAGATGACTTTTACCCACAAGTATTGTTAGCAAACAGGGAACAAAACCTTCTCTTAGCTTAGTCACTTTCTGTTCCCCAGGAAGGTTTCTGGCTGATGGAGGCAGAAAGGACAGTGAGTGACCCAAAATGAATCAACAGTCTCTAAAAGGGCCAATAGAACACCCTTGCATCCTACCCAGGCCAGGACCCAGAGACTGGAAGCTAAGAACTGTTATCAGCCACGTGGGTCTTCATCAAAGTATAGGTGCCCAGCTCCTTCCTTAAACGAAAGCCCAGCTCCTTTGAGGGGGAGAAAGGAAGCTGGCGCAGGAAGGCTGTGTGGATTCCCCAAGGCCTGATGATACTCTAGACCATTCCTAACCATATAGGCAGAATGCAGAATATAATCCCACTTTGAAAATGGAGAGCACTATTTTAAGGGTATTGTTTCTTGGGAAAATCCACAATGCTTACTCTGAAACTTTTAACTCAAGAATGTCAAAGCCACACCAGTATGCAGGTACCTTCTCCTCTTAAAAACATAGATGAGGCCAGGTGCCGTGGCTCACACCTGTAATCCCAGAATTTTGGGAGGTCAAGGCGGGTGGATCACCTGAGGTCAGAAGTTCATGATGAGCCTGGCCAACATGGCCATCTCTACTAAAAACACAAAAGTTAGCCAGGCGTGGTGGTGTACACCTGTAGTCCCAGCTACTTGGAAGGCTGAGGTAGAAGAATCACTTGAACCCAGGCGGTGGAGGTTGCAGTGAGCCGAGATCGCGCCACTGCACTCCAGCCTGGGCAATAAGAATGAGACTCCATCTCAAAAAAAAAAAACCAAGTGTATATATATATGGAGAGAGACAGACAGACAGACAGAGAGAGAGAAAGAGATGAGTATTTTGGTTTTCAAGCACCAAAGGAAGACTTTTCCAAACTTGAACCGCCTAATGAAGTGCACATGTTAAGTAGACTTTAAAAGAGATCCTGGCCAGGCGCAGTGTCTCATGCCTATAATCCCAGTACTTTGGGAGGCTGAGGTGGGTGGATCACCTGAGGTCAGGAGTTCGAGACCAGCCTGGCCAACACGGTGAAACCCCATCCCTACTAAAAATACAAAAATTAGCCAAGTGTGGTGGTGGGCATCTGTAATCCCAGCTACTCAGGGGGCTGAGGCAGGAGAATCGCTTGAACCAGGGAGGCGGAGGTTGCAGTGAGCCGAGATCACGCCACAGCACTCCAGCCTGGGTGACAGAGTGAGACTCCATCTCCCAAAAAAAAAAAGAGATCCTAAGCAATCATTCATACCTATCTTTACAAAATATGGTCAATTCTGTGTTTGGGGGGGGTAATATTTAAGATTATACATAGAACCAAATTGTTTCACTCATGACATAGAATCATCCAAACTGCACGTACACAAAAATGGCTTTATGCAAAGGCCCTGACAGCGTGATATTTAGTTTTTCGGATTAGGTACATAGGGCCAACCAGCCCATCCTGTACATTCCAGCAAGTGCAAGAGCAGCAACTTTCCTATTTCAATACAATTATGGGCAGAAATTATATGATGTAAAATAGAGGCCCTTTCATAAAGTTAAGATTTAGGGTAGAAGAAGGGAAGATAGAACCAAAATTCCCATGAAGTCAAAATTCAGCATTGGTCTTGTATTCTGTTGAAACCTGTGATGAACTGTAGTACTCAAACTCACAGACTCAGATCCAGGTTCACCAAGACACTTCAGTATGCTTCCAACTGGCTCATCATCATCTTCCTGCTGTATTCATAGGCCACAAACAGTGCCCCATTGGCAGGGATTGCTCGAATCATAGTAGCTTTCAGTCCAGAATATAAGGCTACTATTCCTTCATTTCTCACAACACTTAAGAGAGTACCAATAAATCCTGCCTGTTTTCCATACATGGAAAGAACTTGAATTCTGGATTTAATACAATCCACTGGGAACACGACAAGCCAGAGGCAAATTCCAGCAACTCCACCACTTAACATCAAATGGACAGGGCCTAGTTCATCTTTTGATCTCCCTGATGCGAAAAACGATCGGCTCAGTTCATAGCCACCAAAGTAAAAGAAATAACCCGGTACTTCTTGAAGTAGAGTACTCGAGAGTCCATGGTAGAAGCCCAAGGGGCCATCCTTTTTAAGGATACCCTTCACGACAGACCAAATTGTATTATGGCTTTTTGCTATCTTCCCTGACATCTCCATTTCATACATGGTCTGTAGCCGGCACTTCACAAGCTCAGTGGGGCAGAGAGCCAGCGCAGCAAATGCAGAGGCGAAGGACCCCGCGGTTGCAGTCTGGAGATCACTCAGCTTTGCCTGCTTGTCCATTCCAGCCACTTTCCTGACAAACTGCTGGCAGAACCCGTAGCACATGAAGAGGACCGAGTTTTCAGCAACGTAGGCCATAAGTGCCGGGCCAGTGCCCTTGTAGAAGCCCCTGAGACCCACTTGGGTGTACGTCTTCAGGAAGCAGTCGGTGAGGCCCTTGTACAGGTCGGGGAACGTCTGCATCTTCACTTTTATTGTGTCGAAGGGCTGCCCGGTCAGTACACACGCTGTCCCCCCTGCGGCCCCCGCTGTGAGGTCGATGGCGGCTTGGATGCCAGGACTGGACTTCATGTTCGCTCACTCATCTGAAGGTACCAATGGAAGGCAACTAACTCCCCAGAGCATGGGACCGTCTTTTCACGTCCAGCCCGCAGCGAGCGCGGGGATTGGGGTTGGGGGTTGGGGGGTGGCTCTGCTGCCTGTTCTGGGCTCTCACCCCAGTGCGGGGGAGGCCGCTTAACCCCACGCTAGGCCGCGGGCCGCCCTCTCCCCGCGCACTGAAATAACCCCCAGCTGCCGGCCCCGCGCGCGGCTCACTAGCGTTCCTGCGGCTCCTGGCTCACTGGCGGGGCCCCCAGCCGCCTCCAGCCTGGACCCGCCATCCCTGCGCCCGCAGGCGGGGGACGCTGACCGAATAAATACTTTTGGTGTACTGCGACTGGGCGCAGTGGCTCACTCCTGTATCCCAGCACTTTGGGAGATGGAGGTGTTAGGATCGCTTGAACCCAGAAGATCGAGACCAGGCTGGGCAATATGGCAAGGCTCCATATCTACAAAAACAAACAACAAAGAAAAAAACCCAGGCACGATGGCGCGCGCCTGTGGTCCCAATTATCCAGGAGAATGAGGCGAGGATCACTTGAACCACGGAGGTCGATGCTGCAGTGAGCTGTAATTTGCCACTGCACTCCAGGGTGGGCAACAGAGCGAGACTCCGTCTCAAAACAAAACCAAAACCAAGAAAACATTTAAAGCTTTTTGATAAATTCTTGCAATTATGGCCAGAAACTCTAGACGCCACTGTTCGACTGGCGGCAAAAGAAATACTGTCCTAATCAGCCAGCCCTGCTTCTTTTCTTTTCTGTTTTTGAGTCAGGGTCTCACTCCGTCGCCTAGGCTGGAGTTCAGTGGCGCTATCCCAGCTCACTGCAGCCCCAATCTCCCGGGATCAAAAGATCCTCTCATCTCAGCCTCCTGAGTAGCTGAGACTAGAAGGACTACAGACTTTCTAGTCTCCAGACCTGCAAGCCACCACATCTGGCTAAATTTGTATTCCACAGACAGGGTTCGCCATGTTGCCCAGGCTAGTCTCGAACTCCTGAGCTCAAGCAATCTACCCACTGGCCTACCAAAGTGCTGGGGATTACAAGCATGAACCACCGCACCCAGCCTGTCCCACGCTTCCTACCATGCAAAAAACAAAACCAAACAAACTGAAAAGAAGATGCCCTCACTTGAATGGAGCCTGAATTCAGAAGGTCAATCTACAGAAAAACTGCTTTAAAGTAGATAAAACAGGCCAGGTGCAGTGGCTCATGCCTGTGATCCCAACACTTGGAGAGGCTGTGGAGGGAAGATCATTTGAGCCTAGGAGTTCAAGACTAGCTTGGGCAGCAAAATGAGACCCCTGCCCCAGCCTACAAAAAATAAAGCAGAGAAGACAAACTATCAGAGGCGCTGGAACCAGAGCAACCCCATCTTGACTAGGGACTGAGTAAAATAAGGCCGAGACCTACTGGACTGCATTCCCAGGAAGATAGGCATTCTAAGTCACAGGATGAGATAGAAAGCCGGCACAAGATATGGGTCACAAAGACCTTGCTGATAAAACAGTTTTCAGTAAAGAAGCCAGCCAAATCCCACCAGAATCAAGATGGCGTAATAAGTGACCTCTGGTCGTCCTTACTGCTCATTATACGCCAATTATAATGCATTAGCATGCTAAAAGACATGCCCACCAACACCGTGACCACTTACAGATGCCATGGCAACAATAGGAAGTGACCCTATATGGTCTAAAAAGGGGGAGAAATCCTCATTTCCGGGAACTTTGGACCCCTTTCCCAGAAACCTCATGAATAATCCACCTCTTGTTTAGTTTATGTTCAATAAACAACTATAAGTATCCTTAGTCAAGTCGCCCAGGCTGCTGCTGTGCCTATGGAGTAGCCATTCTTTTGCTTCTTTACTTCTCTAATAAACTTGCTTTCACTTTATGAACTTGCCCCAAATTATTTCTTGCAGAGATCCAAGAACCATCTCTTGGGTCTGGATTGGGACCCCTTTCCAGTAACAAAACAATTTGAGGGTTGCTACATGAGACACAGTGACTGCTTTTGATCAGAAAACCCTCAGTGAGCTGCCCATGCTCCTCACTTTTCTGGGGGATGCGGAGAGGGGTAGGGCACTGTGGGAGTCCTTAGCCCTGGAGATGTGCTACTGCTTTCCTGCGGAGCTGGAGAAATGCTATCACATGGCAACATCCCCAAGGATCTGGGGTTGCAGCCCTGGGAACTGGTGGAACGAGAAGTCCTTATCATTTCTGAAGGTGGAACACAGCACTATAAAATCAACTTGGAAAATGGATAGTATTTATATACTGCATTGCTAAGAAACTTGACAGAAAAAAGCTGGGTGGCTCAGCACTGTGCTTTCTGAGTTTTGAGGTTCTCTTTGAGGACCCACACAGCCTCATGCAGAAGTAGAAATCTGTCGCTTATACACTGTTGGTGGGAAAGTAAAATAGTTCAACCCCTATGGAAAGCAGTATGGAGATTTCTCAAAGAACTAAAAATAGAACACCCATTCCACCCAGCAATCCCCTATTGGATATCTACCCAAAGGAAAAGAAATCATTTTATCAAAAAGACACCTGTGCCGGGGACAGTGACTCACACCTGTAATCTCAGAATTTTGGGAGCCCAAGCCAGGTGGATCACTTGAGCCCAGGAGCTCCAGACCAGCCTGGACAACATGGCAAAATGCCATCTCTACAAAAAAAAAAATACAAAAAGTAGCTGTGCATGGTGGCATGAACCTGTAGTGGCAGCTACACAGGAGGCTGAGATGGGAAGATTGACTGAGCTGAGGAGGTAGAGGCTGCAGTGAATTATGATCCAGCCTAGGTGGCAAAACAAGACCCCGTCTCAAAAAACAAACAAACAAACAAACAAAAAACAGAAAACATCTACACTCATATGTTTATGGCAGCACTATTCATAATAAGAAAGTCACAGAATCAACATAAGTGTTTGTCAATAGTTGATTGTATAAATGTGGTATATGTATGCCATGGAATACTATGCAGCCATGAAAAAGAATGTAATCTTGTCCTTCACAACATGGATGGAGCTGGAGGCTGTTATTCTAAGTGAAATATCTTAGAACCAGAAAATCAAATACTGCATGTTCTCACTTATATAAGTGGGAGCTAAACAATGGGTACACAAAGACATAAAGATGGGAGTAACAGACACTGGGAACTCCAAAAGTGGGGAGGGTGGGAGGGATTGAGGGTTGAAAAGCTACCTGTTGGGTACTATGTTCACTATTTGGGTGATAGGTTCACTAGAAGCCCAGACCTCAGCATTACACAACATACCCATGAAACAAACCTGCACGTGTCCTCCTTGAATCTAAAATGAAATTAAATTTAAAAAGAAGTAGAAGTTCAGGATATACATGACATGTCTAGCTTTCAAGGCAAGATGTTTTTTGGACATTAGTGAGGACACCACTGTCAGGACACACTTTTTCCTCCCAGATGTTTATAATCCCAGCATTGGAATGAATTCTCTCCAGGCTTACATTCCAAGCCGTAGTCGGCCATGGGTAGTAAAAACAAAATCTGGGGGGAAGAAAGTATGCTGAAAGCATTCTCTCTTTCATTTAGAAAACTTTTCTTGTCTAATTATCCTGGATTGTCAATTAAAAGTGAGGTACTTCAGAACAAAGGTCTCTGAGAAAATTTTAAAAAAAAATTTTTTTTAATGAGGTACTGAAAAGCAAATTGTGCATGAATAATTTGTCACCAGGTAGTGTTCACTGTGGTAAATAGTAACCTCGGCTTTTCTTTGGGAAATGCCCAAATGTCAGCAGTTGCAGTTCTTTTCTCTGGGACCACGTAGTTTCTCCAGAGAATGCTCTACCAATCTTGACTCCGTGTGTGTAGGGTGTGGTGGGGGAGAGGTAGGTTATAAACCTAGATACTGATTTAAAGAGAACAAGACAGGGGAAGAGGGGTGGCACACCTGGAGTAAATATATAGACTTTCACATAATTTTTTCTTTATTTGATACTGTGCCTACTTTCTCTGAGTTTGGGCCTTCTTTGGTTCAATTTATCAAGAAAATAACATTTCCATCTTCTGTGGGATGGAAAGAGTTATCTGGCTTCATAGAGTGGGATAGAGATCCTGGACACCCAACAACTCTGAACACAGACTTTAATGAATCTCACATCTCTAACCCTACACCTTCCCACCTTCCCTGGAATCTTCTGCATGCAAAAATTTTGCCTCTTACAAGGCTCTATCAAGTGGGTTTGTCTCTCTTTGGCATAACTACTTGCAGACATTCAGCATGTAACTTTTTCTGATCTATGAATTCATTTATCATTTCTCTGTTTTGGCCTTCCGATAATGGGTTGACATCTCTCCCCATTGTTGTCTCATTTCCTATTGTCTTTGTCTTTAGAGGTTAACATCTTTTAAAAATCCTTTCTGTTGTTTTACTTAGCAGCCTCTTAGGTAAAGCAGAGAGGATGAGAACAATCTGCAATTTGAAAATATAAAACTTCATTAAGATTTTTAAATCCCTCATGTCATAGTTGAGGAATTTTTTTCTATGTTTTGATTTCACTCTCAGCAAAGGGAAGGGAGGAAAAGCGTTTTGTTTTGATTTGTCTTGCTCTGTTGCCCAGGCCAGAATGCAGTGGCACAATCGTGGCTCACTGTAGCCTCAACCTCTCAGGCTGAAGCAATCCTTCCATTTTAGCCTCCCAAGTAGCTAATGGTGCCAGAGGTGTGCACCATCACACCCAGCTAATTTTTTTATTTTTTGTAGAGATAGATTCTCACTATGTTTCCCAGGCTGGTCTCAAATTCCTGGGCTCAAGTGATCCTCCTGTCTCAGCCTCTCAAAGAGCTGGGATTACAGAAATAAGGCACTGCACTCAGCCCAGAAATTATTTAAATAATAACATATTTAGTAGATTTTGCCACAGTCACCTAATATAAATTAGAATTTTTTCCTTTGAAGCTTCCTGTAGTCTAAAAATAAATACTGAATGGCAAATGAAACAGATATTTGGAAATGGTTTAGCCATTAGATGTAGACCTTAAGACAAAGGGAGCCCATTATATGTGTAATAAATATAAACAAGTACAAGGCATTCCAAGTCTAGTGACATGGCATATACTCTCTGCATTACTATTTCATTATGGAGAGAGCCTAAAACATATAATTAAGGTTATTTACTGTAAAGATGTTATCTGAGTGAGATTTAAAAAATATTTTACATCTTTTATCTTTCATTGCAAATAAATGGATTAAGTTCTACATTGCTATTTTATCTTCTTTAG